CCCAGGACCTCCAACAAATGCAGGACAGTATCCTCAAACAGATGAATGTCTCGTTTCAGATCCTTACCTATTCACCATTTATGATGATCCTCCTCTACAATTAGACGCCACAGGCCTATGAGCTATCAATTCTGCAGTTCAAACATCCGTTATGAACAAACTGAAGACCTGGACTGATCTGGAGGTAAGGTTCTGGCATTGCAGTCGGAAGATGTTCGGTTTCTCGGTTTCCTCAGTCCATTCAAGAAATAGACCTCTCGATTAGGCCACAATCACTTCCTTTCAAATCCTTTCCAATTCATTATCCATCTATCATCCTTTCATCCGTCACCATATATTCTCGAAACGGAAAAAAGCACAGTTAAATGAGCCACAAAACCCCCACTTGAAATCATTCTGCCAGAATTCCTGAGGAGTAAGTTCTAGACTTCATTTAACGACGCTGTATAACCTGCAAGCTTTTCTTAGCGTCAGACGAGAAGAGAAGATACCTCAGTACGGATCTTGGGGAGCGGCCTCCGTAGTCTAGGGGTAACGTTCCCACCACATGACTCAAGGTACGCGGGTTCAAACCCGGCGGAGGTCGGGGAACTTTTACGGGCGGAAAAATTCAGGGAACAAGTCCTCCGGGAGGGACTTTTACGGCACGTAAAAGATTCTCATGTCTCTAGGAGACCTCTGAGCAGAATTAGGTAAAAAGTTTCCCGCCCAAGTAGTTTCCAATACCTCCGGTAGATAGGGAAGCATCGGGTACCGCAGCCAGTCTCGCTGGCTGAACGGGACTGATAGCGAGCAGCACTACCGGCAGGGTATGGAGACTGGTAGAGTATAAAAGGGAGACGTACAATAGACTATTAGTTGCGGTGCATGGGGAAACCCACCCCCTTCAATAATAATAATAATAATAATAATAATAATAAGGATCTTGGGGAAGAGTGTTGCCCCTTATTTCATGTAATTATACGGCATTGGCTTGAGGGCACTGAGAATAAGCCATAAACTTCTCATACTGGATAGCCAAGACAGATAAGCCTATGGATTAAATACATGTCAGAAAGTTTACACCTTGAAATAAGCTGACTTACAAGCGACGATAATTCACTGATAAACTTTAGACAATTACATTACATCTACGAATTGCATCAACTTTCAAACACTCTCTGCAGTGGACATGGGGTTTTACCGTACCAGTCAACCACAGACAAATATTTCAAAAATGTTATTAGAGAAATAATGACATGATAGTCTCAAAAAAGAAGCCCAAATGGGTTCAGGTAAAGGTTGCATATGCATCCTAAACAGCGGCCAGTTCAAGACGACAGGAAATTGAAAACGTTAACACAGGGACGATAATTGTTTCTAACTATACAACTTGGCCGCGCCATAGCTCAAACGGTTAGTCGCTGGCTTCCCACCGCGGCGGCCCGGGTTAGGTCAAGTGGGATTTGTGGTGGAAAAAGTGGCGCTGGGGCAGGTTTTCTCCGAGTACTTCGGTTTCCCCTGCCAATCTTCATTCCACCAATTGCTCCATAATCACCCTCACCTATCATCTGGGGCTGGTACAATAGGCCAGAAGTGGCCGCAGTACAAGGGACTTAGTCCCACCCCACTAACAATAAAAAAACCATACAACTCCAGAGCAAGCCAATTCCTGCAAAAGGAAAATAAATATGAATTCAACTCCAAATGAATTTACTGAAGAGTAGTGTAAAATCTCGAGGATTTCTCTTCAACAGGGAGAATATATTGATGCATATTTAGTCCCTATCACCGTCGTTATTATGGAAAAGCTTACGATATGTGACCTGCTAAATACAGAACTGCCTGGAGATGACCTGTCTGCAAGTGATCTGTAGCGTATACTGCATAAAGGAAGTAATTCTGTACCCAGGAAGTAGCGACATTGACACAGCTATGGAGAAACAGTTGTCAGTCTCGGCGGCCATGTTAAATTTGCCTAACTGTACAGTCTACAGACTCCGATGATGATGATGATGATGATTATTATTATTATTATTATTATTATTATTATTATTATGAAAGTCATCTCCCTGCGATGTCTTACGTCATACCTAAATTTAATAAACTCCTGTATATTTACAAATTTTGAAAGCACTTAATATTACACGGCGAATTACTAACTACGTTTCACGTACTCACAGTTGGAAAGAGTGGAAAAGAAAAATCCTTACATTTGCAGGATTTGAGGTTTTCGCAGCAGTGTTATGAGTACTATCTACTGGGATATAACGTTGTATAGCCCGTTGGAAGTTAACCGACGTTTCGGAGTAGCATCTTTATGGGCGAAAAAGAAACCAAGCAAGAAACCAACGTGAAGCAGGTAGCAGAAACGCTGATTTCTCACTTGGCGTATTCTTCGAAACTACAGATGGAAGCGACTTGTTCCTCCTAAGCCCTGGTTGACTTTCAGCGGACTACACGGTATTATATGCCAGAAGACAGAAATATTCATCTCCTAAATTTCGTCAAAATCCGTTCATTACTTTCGCAAATGTAATTTAGAGACAGACGTGGAGGGGGTCCCCCAGTCTATTCCTTCACTTCAAGTACTTTATGCAAAAGAAAATCATATTTAAGTGCCAGTTTTACGCTCCTGTCTGAATAATTTCGGAACAAATTGCAACAAAGCGCTAACTTGGCCCCCCGATAAAGCTGTTAACACTTGTGTCGCACTTGTCAGGATAGATTCCCTTCTCGGCTCCGTGACAGTTTCAATTTAAATAATTCGCGGACTCCGTAACCAAGCGGATAACAGCCACGTGTCCCTTACAAGCTTTCTCACGATCTGAACAATTGCCCTCCGGTTTTGCAGCGCGTTTCAGAAAGATCTGCCCGATTTACAATATTTATATTTGTAACGCTAATTTACACATACTAATAAATCAAACGTCATATGATACAGGCAGTTTTATATTTCCTGGTAAAGCAGTAGTTCTTCTTTCTACCCCAGAATGGCGCTGCATCCGTGAATTAAACAAAATGGCTACTACTCACTTAATGGAAAACTTGTAACTTGAAGTTTTTAATTTGTAACTTGCACCACGTGTAATAAAAATTGATATTCTTCCCTGGTAATATGTGTTTCAAGTTCTGCTGTTCATAAATTATGTTCAGATATATAAACTCTTGAGGTCAGTCAGATCATCATGAATATACACTGCAATTTGAATCGAGGATGCTGCAGCAGAACACGAGACATGGCAAATTACAGTGTTGATTGCCCGCCAAGAAAGTTGTCTTCGGTACCACATAATTCCAGGAGACAAACAGTGATCAGTGTCATAATATTCACTGCCCAGAATTCAACTGGTTGCCTAAATTTTATACTTCTTGGGTTTTCTTAATTGGCATAGTAATGGAGGTAATACATTTAGTTTTAACATTTACATTTGTGATCTTTTGGTACAAATTGAAGTAAACTGGCTATGTGTGTGTGTGTGTGTGTGTGTGTGTGTGTGTGTGTGCATTGCTCTGCCCAGGCTACAGGTATATGAATGTGTCGTGTAGGTGGAAGTTCATTCTGGAAACTTGAACAGAGATCTGTGCAGAAAGCAACCAGTGCCGTCGTAAGTCGGGCTTAGACTGGACAAGCCAGCTAAAGTAAGGCCTAAGCTCAAAGCTGTGAGAAAAAAATGTTTACAATGACGCGACTTCCATTGGTTTTGACTAATAGAATTACATATATTAGCCAATGGCAAATAAAGATTTGTATTGGCAACGAACGCTTTGCAGAGCCTCTTCTTCGAGGTTTTACTCAGTTAACATGAAATTAATAAAATAGCAAATTTAATTAGTTTAATTAGCGATTCCTACGAAGTAGGACTGTACAGTGTAGAGCTGTATAGCAACAATGCTTTTTAGGAGTGTGAATAACACATAAAGTAAAAGAAGCATGCAATACACTATGTCTAAGTTACAAGGCTACCTTATTTTTAAATTAAAAATTTAAAACTTTCTTATATTTAATACAGTTTTGTTGTGGATTCATAAAATTTGTTAAATAAGTAATTCATTTACATGTTTTATTTTCTCACGAGACTTTGGACGAAATATTCTAAGTGTTATTATAATATTTACTACATATGCCTATACTGAATCATCAGTGGAAAAAAAAATCATTTCAAGTATATGAATGTTCACGTGAGAACTAAACGGCTGTGGCATTAATTCGGAATAATTTTCATTTTTATTTTTTGGAAAATGAAATTGAATAACTTTCCGAGACATAAATTTCTTTTAAATTTCCCGTCAGGATAATGAAAATATACGTGTATATCGTACTGATGTGAAGTGACGTTTGTTTGGAATTGATATGCACTTTCAGTTTTCCAAATATCGGGTTCCAGTAACCTCCGCAGGCAAGGTTTAAGTACAGCACTCTTCCTCACATTCTCACTAAACATAACGTAACTCTAACATATAGATATACAAAGATCCATAATCCTAAATAATATTTTGAACAATACTACACCAGAAGGGTAGGGTGTTTCGGGTTGTAACGCCGTGTAGTTCGGAGGGTTCTTTCTTGTACTGTGTGTAGAGGGATGAGCAGTAGTCAAACTAAAAGCATTTATACATTTTTAAATTGTAAAAAAAAAAGAAACTGGTGCGCTGCAATTCAAATATAAAATGCAATAGAACATGCCTAAATATGGGGATAATTCTAAATTATGCACACATTAATATACCAGATAAGGAACAGCTGCACATGGCAACAAAGAAAACCAACACAACAACAAAATATACACATGTAAGATTTGAGGCTTTCACGGCGGTGACTATGAAGAAAGCAGTCTTCTGGGATTTGGCACCGTGTATATGTGGTGTTAACCGACGTTTCGGAGGAACGTATCGCCCCCATCTTCAGGGTTGAAGAAGTATAGGTAAATCTGCAAGCGACAACACCGTGAGACACGGTCAACTTGTATACCTGATGATGGCAGCCAGTGGGGCCGAAACATAAGAATGCTTTCTCCTACCTGGACCCGCGCCTCTGTCAGGTCTATCTTCATGGCAATCTCCTCTCTCGTGTATATGTCCGGATAGTGCGTCTCCTGGAAGGCTCTCTCGAGCTCCTTGAGCTGCGCTGACGTGAACGTGGTGCGGATCCGTCGCTGTTTGCGCTTCTCTGTCAGCACCCCTTCGTGGCCCGGATACACCTTGTATGGCAGCCCCGCTGAAACACATCGCATCCTCATGAGCTGCATGTGGACACGCTTTACAAGCACTTGTATTCGGTTCGAATCCAGACCGAGGCACCGAATATCCTCACTGAGGTTTGCCCTATTTTTCATCAGTTTCCTTCGACTAATGCCAGAATAATGAATCAAAATTTGCCAGTATCTCTTCCTTCCAGATGCTTTCCAATTCATCATTCACCCGCCATTCAACGCTATAGAGGCTGAGTAACTGATATTGCTGTAAAAGACGGTAAAGCTGTCCCCGTGCTTAACTAATTAAGCACTACGCCAAAGGCCGCGCCAAAGCTCAAGCGGTTAGTCGCTGGCTTCCCACCGCGGCGGCCCGGGTTCGATCCCGGGTCTGGTCAAGTGGGATTTGTGGGGGAGAAAGTGACGCTGGGGTGGGTTTTCTCCGAGTACTTCGGTTTCCACTACCAATCTTCATTTCACCAAATTCTCCATCATCATAATCACCCGGGGCAGGTACAATAGGCCAATCAGTGGCCGCCGTGCTGAGTGGACCCAGTTGGACTCCACCCCCCACTAAGTGAAAAAAAAGCACCACGCCATGAAGGCGTATGGGAGAGTGGATGTATAGACCCACATTTTCTTGACCTCGGCACTAGCTGGAGGTGAGTATTTGGCCTCACACCCTGGCCTTCTTTGTTCTGTGTTTGTGTTGTTCTGTGTGTAGGTAGTGGCCTTGCGAACGGCTGATCCCCCGCCCAAGGAGTCCTACCGATTGTGTACAGATTAAGAAACTGAAAAAGTGGTCAAGGTCCAATAAAAGGTCAGTAGAGCCATGGATACATAGATAGGCCTATAATTAATTAATCATTTTCAAGAACTTTAACAAAATCGTATTACAGTTTGCGGTTGTAGGCCCGTCTGATATCTTATCAGCAATGAGAATCCATACTATACAAAATTTATACACACAAATAGACCATAAATGTATGCAATTTTTAGCTCACAATAAAGAATACCGAGAGATATTTACAAATTTGACAAATAAAAGATAAATAAAATTCAAAGCTTTCGTGGCGAAATGATGGACTACAATCTTCCCGGACAATTATCCGTGTCACTGTTGAGCTTACGACAGACGTTTCAGATACTTTCTCTTTCTCCTGATGATGGAAAGAGAGAAGGTCTCCGAAACGTTGGCTTCAGTTCAAAACCAACAGGTGATCCCACGAGAAGATTCTAGTGCAAATAAACTACATTACAAATATTTGTAGGCTTGTATGTGTTTCTGTAGTCATACAAATTTGCACTTGCCTGCCTACAGCGATACATCACTCATCTCTATGAAAGTGGACAGCACACAGTCTTAGAGATTTCGCACAAAAGCCTAGAACAGTTGCTCTCCATACAATTTCAGGGCATTCAAATAAACTACATTACAAATATTTGTAGGCTTGTATGTGTTTCTGTAGTCATACAAATTTGCACTTGCCTGCCTACAGCGATACATCACTCATCTCTATGAAAGTGGACAGCACACAGTCTTAGAGATTTCGCACAAAAGCCTAGAACAGTTGCTCTCCATACAATTTCAGGGCATTCAAATAAACTACATTACAAATATTTGTAGGCTTGTATGTGTTTCTGTAGTCATACAAATTTGCACTTGCCTGCCTACAGCGATACATCACTCATCTCTATGAAAGTGGACAGCACACAGTCTTAGAGATTTCGCACAAAAGCCTAGAACAGTTGCTCTCCATACAATTTCAGGGCATTCAAATAAACTACATTACAAATATTTGTAGGCTTGTATGTGTTTCTGTAGTCATACAAATTTGCACTTGCCTGCCTACAGCGATACATCACTCATCTCTATGAAAGTGGACAGCACACAGTCTTAGAGATTTCGCACAAAAGCCTAGAACAGTTGCTCTCCATACAATTTCAGGGCATTCAAATAAACTACATTACAAATATTTGTAGGCTTGTATGTGTTTCTGTAGTCATACAAATTTGCACTTGCCTGCCTACAGCGATACATCACTCATCTCTATGAAAGTGGACAGCACACAGTCTTAGAGATTTCGCACAAAAGCCTAGAACAGTTGCTCTCCATACAATTTCAGGGCATTCAAATAAACTACATTACAAATATTTGTAGGCTTGTATGTGTTTCTGTAGTCATACAAATTTGCACTTGCCTGCCTACAGCGATACATCACTCATCTCTATGAAAGTGGACAGCACACAGTCTTAGAGATTTCGCACAAAAGCCTAGAACAGTTGCTCTCCATACAATTTCAGGGCATTACAGCCTTAGTTTCAGTCCTATCTCATAAATTTATATTACAGCCATGTACACTGCAGAGAAGAAGAGTGATCAGCCCGTCGCAAGGCCGCTACATAGGAAAACACACGCACAGAATAGACGCACACACGTACGAAACAAACGTGCGTTGACTTGGATTCGAACACACGATCCCAGCGTCCGAACGAGCAAAGACAGTTCATGCCTTAGACCGCGCAGCCAATGTGATCGGTCTGAAGAAATGATACAGAATTAAAAATCTAAAGATATGACCGCATGGTGTTCATAATGATTTTAAATAAACTTTAAACATTGTCTGAAAGTAATGACAGAGGCAGAACATAGATCGATAGGGCAGAGCTCTTCTTTAGGAGCTGATGAAGTAAACTATTGTGTTCATAATAGCCTCCACTGGTCCATATCCTGCCAGATTACAATCTCCGACGCCCTTACGTGCTATTTATTTCAAAACCAATTTAAATATTGCTTTCCCATCTACATATAGTTCACTCAGGTGGTGACTTCCTTTCAGGTTTTGGGACTAATATTTTGTGCGTATTTCTCATGCCTCTCGTTCTTGGTACATGTCCTGAAAATCTCGTCCGCGGTGATTTAGTGCCCAAGTAATACTCACATTCTGTCCGCCGGTCTCGGTAGCCCAGCGGTCTAAGGCATGCACTGTCTTCGCTCGCTCGGAAGCCAGGATGGTGGGTTCGAATCCCATTCAGGCCATAGATGCTTAGTGCTTGTGTGTGTGTGTGTGTGTGTGTGTGCGTTTTTCTGTGTTTGTGTACAGATAGAGGCCTTGCGAATAGCTGATCACCCGCCCAAGGCGTCCTACCGAATGTCCAAGGTCTAGTAAACCGAAGTGAAACGGAGTTTCGTGGAGGTAGGCATAGGCCCAAATTTACGCTGTAGCGCAAAAGGAAAAAAATAACAGGATTATCCTGTAAGTGTATCTTTCCTATCAAGTTAAGAAATGTAAAGCTAAATTTACAAGAAATTCGGGTATTTTATTTTATTTTTGTTTCAGCGCAGTAGCACTTTCATATTACTGAGTACTTAAAGAGACAAACTTATACCTTAAACCTGAAAATAAATTGGCAAATCTAACTGGCCGAAGTGTTTCGAAAGTACAATTTCACATTCTAATGAGAGTGCCTAATCAGATCTGACAGCCGGGAGTGTCATCACATGTCTGCGTTAGACAGAAAGGATCCATGGCAAACTGCGTGTACAGGCAGCCAAGACGACACCGCGACATTCCGTCTATTGACTCGAGCCGAGCAGAACCTACAGCCTCTAGAAGCAGAGCCGTGTGGTTGAGCCCCTCAGTGCAGCGGTTAATTACGTTAATTTGCAAGGAGACTAAATCCCAACTTTCCTGCATGAACACGTTTAAAGCAACACCTAAAACCGCAAGCTCAAAACACACACAGTGGGGGGGGGCGAATGTTTCGTATGGGCTTCAACATGAAGCATATAACTCGAAGGAAGACGACTTTAAGGCCGCGCCATAGCTCAAGCGGTTAGTCGCTGGCTTCCCACCGTGGCGGCCCGGGTTCGATCCCGAGTCTGGTCAAGTGGGATTTGTGGTGGGCAAAGTGGCGCTGGGGCAGGTTTTCTCCGAGTACTTCGGTTTCCCCTGACAATCTTCATTCCACCAATTGCTCTACAATCACCCTCACCTATCATCTGGGGCTGGTACAATAGACCAGAAGTGGCCGCAGTACAAGGTACTTAGTCCCACCCCACTAGCATTAAAAGAAAGACGACTTTACAAATATATAACGAAGACAAAGCAAACAAGGAACGAAGAATGAGACAAAGAACGAGGAAATAAAAAATATTTTCATCCGAAAATGTGTTCCAAATCGAATAAAGTGACGGAATTTTCAAAAGCAATTTACGTATGAGCATAATGGAGATTGTAGGATCTGAGGTTCTCACAGCCGTTCTTATAAAGTTTTCTATATTCTGCAGGCTCGTCTGGCTATCTGCTTCGTGCTCGTTTCTTCTTTGGCGTATACCGTATATACGCATGTATAGGCCGCAGCACAATTTTCAGACAGAAATTATAGAAAAAAGAATTTTCTTGGAATATTATTTCAGGAGTAGAACACCCTGTATTACTAATTATGAATATATTTTTTTTAAATGAAGTGTGATTTCGAATATAAGCCGCACCCCAGTTTTCCTCTTGAATTTTTGGCAAAAAATGTGCGCCTTTTTCTTTTCTTCTTTATTTCACAAGCTTTAAATAGTTTACACTTCATAGCGTCTAATAATCTGATGATTAGTGGATAATGAATGGGAATTTTCTGGAAGGAAGCTGCCAGGGTCTAACTTAAATTACTATCAAGAATTTGTCTGGAGAGACTGATTTCAGTGAAGGTAAATTTATCCCTCGGTTTAATTCATTAATCCCTACGTCATTAATACGTTAGGGGGACTGGAGGCATAACTCCATCTTTCTTAACCTCGCCACTAGATGGAAGTGAATGGTCAGCTTCACGCCCCTGCCGCTTTACCCCTAGGGAAACAGCCGTCGGTACCCATCGTATAGGAGGTTGGGTGGACCTCAAGAGGTCAGGACGTTGTTGAGAAGGAAAGAAACTTGCCTCTTCCGCGAATCGAACCCCAACTCATAGACCGTCCAACCCGTAGCCTAGACGTTGCACCGACTAAGCCACGAAAATTCTCAGTCAGGATAGGAGA